GAGCCTCTGAACCTGTCGGGGGCCTCCTGGAAGCAGGTTCGAAGCATTTTGGGGGCCGATTTGGGGCTTCTCGGGGCCTCCTTTGGGCCTCTTGGGGGTCTCCTGGGGCCTCTTGAGGGGCCTCCTTGGGGCCTCCTGGCGGCCTCTTGGGGCGGAAGGCTCGAGCTTGCGGTTCGTGGTCCCCCTCTGGGCCCCCTCTTGGGCCCGTCTTGGGGCCCTCTTGGGCCATCTTGGGCGCCTCTTGGGCCGTCTTGGGGCCCTCTTGGGCTGTCCTGGGGCCCTCTTGGAAGCTTCTTGGGCCGTCTTGGGGCGGTCTTGGGCGCCTCTTGGGCCGTCCTGTAACGTCGGAAAGCCCAAAAGACAACTTTGTTGAAAATGTACGTTTTACGAAGGGAATGGGCCAATTTTTGCGTTTAGGGGCCCTCTTGGGACGCATGTTGGAGGCTTCTTGGGGCCTCTTGGGGGCGTCCTTGGACGTCTGGAGGCCATCTTCCGCATCTCGGAGCCCTCTTGGAGGCCTCTTGGAAGTTTCTTGGGCCGTCTTGGGCGCTTCTGGGGCCGTCTTGTCTGACCGGGGAGGCCTCCGGCAAGCCCCGACGAGCCTCCGGGCCCCCCGGAGCCCACATTTGTGGTCGGGGTCCCGGCCCCGGGCCCCCGGACCCGGTGCGCCGTTATATGTATATATATATATATATATATATATATATATTTATATATATAGAGAGAGAGAGAGAGAGAGAGAGAGAGCGCAAGGAAGAGAGAGAGAGAGAGACAGATGGAGAAGGAGAGAGAGAGAGAGAGAGAGAGAAATAGAGAGCGAGAGGCGGAGTAGCGATAGAGATAATCGTTCCTGGACCTTCGAACATTTCGTTGGCCTGCGCGGGATTGCTCCGCAGTGGCTGGTAAGCGAAGCTGCGCCGACAGCGAGGCAGGCCGAGCCCGGCAAACCGCCACGGCGCGGGCAGGCGCCGGGCCCCTGCTCCTCTTGCGCATCGCCTGCCTGGTGCCACCTTCTGCTTTCAGAGCTGGCTCAAGCAGGCTGGCCAACGCTCTGCGCTGGAGGGCTGCGCCTACCCATGCCCAGGTCACCTGCTCGCTAGGCCTACCCTGGAGTCGGGCCTGTCCTTCTACAGCGAGCAGCTGCAAACATAGTACAACATCTGCGCGGCGAAGGACCCAACCATGTGCAGTTTTTGGTGCCGCATCTGTGAATATCGTCTTCGGCGGAGTTCCTTCTGGGGGCACGAAGCGTGCGAATGGTGTGCCCAGGTGGAATGGGGGCCGGCGGTACGCGGGCGCTGCCACTGGGGCATTCAGCGGAGCTTCCATATAGGACCTTCGGCATGGCTCTTTCTGTCCGTGATATGTTTCATGGGGGGTAGCGAAAAATTAAAACGTCCAAGATCGTCCGTTTTTTTTTCGCTGTGTGCCCGCACGCTCCAAAGCCCAAGGCTGGAGACGCAGCGCAGCGCGGAATCCCCGCGACGCGTGCCGGTCGCCCCGAAAGGGTCCCACCGACGCACGCGGTATGTTTGCTGCGCGGAGCAGAGAGAGAGAGAGAGCTACGATTGCGGGCAAGTGTTCGCTGCTGGGTAGAGCGACGACCAGCGAGCGAGGCGCTGGGCAAAGCACAGCATGGAGTTCCCGCGACGCGCGCTTGTCGTTCCGAGAGGGTCCCAGCGAGGGCCAAGCAGTCACACCGTCGAGAGACAGCGAGGCTCTGGCGGGCCTCTCCCCTGCCCAGGCCTCGCGGATAAATTCGGTAAAGCTTACCCAGCTCCCTGGTCAGGGCCGTCGCCTCCCTCCGGCACCGCCTCGTGCGCGCCGCAAGCTGTTCCTGCTGCTTTCGCAAACCCTCAGGCGGCCCTGCCAGGAAGAACTCGATCCGCGTCGCCCGCATGAGCGGGAGGTCTTCGTGGCGCGCGAGAGCAGCGCGTAGAGCTCTAGCCACCAGTCGTCGTCCTCCGTCTTATTGCAGTTCCCGACCTCGTGGCGGCCGCAGTCCAGGATCGCGCCTGGGCGGCGTCGGCCGAAGGGGGCGGCGCGCCGGACAGCCTACGGCCCAGGACGAGATTCTACAGGACCGGGAGAAGGCCTGGATGCCGACCGCTCGCGCCAACGCTATGGGCCACGAGGCGTGTGAAAAGGTGTGCTCCTTCCCTACGGGGCCACGACGCACTGCGCTGGGCGGAGAAGCCGCATGTGAGTTCCGACGCTGGGACCTTCGGCTGAGCTCCCTATGGGGCCATGAAGCGCTGCATTGGGCGCAGGAACCCCGTGCGACTTCCGCCACTGAGACCTTCGACTGAACCCCTTGTGGGGCCACGAAACGCGGCACTGGGCGCGGGAAGCGCATAAGATTTCCGCCATTGGGACCTTCGGCGGAGCCCCCGATGGGGCCACGAAACGCGGCACGGCGCGCAGGAACCTCATGCGAGTTCCGCCATTGGGACCTTCGGTGGAGCTCCTTATGAGGCCACGAAGCGCTGTACTGGGCGCAGGAACCGCATGCCAGTTCCGCCACTGGGACCTTCGGTGGAGCTCCCTACGGGGCCACGCAGCGTTGCACTGGGCGCAAGAACTGCATGTGAGTTCCGCGGTTGGGACCTTCGGTGGCGTTCCCCACGGGGCCACGAAAAGTTGCACCGGGCGCAGGAACAGCGTGCGAGTTCCGCCATTCGGAGTTTCGGTGGGTGTGGTTGGGTTGTTGGGCGGGGGGACGGAGGAGGGGGAGGAGGAAGGAAGGTGGGACAAGGGGCGTTGTCTTTTTCAAAACGACGACCCAACACCACATGACGGTTGGGGAGTAGTCACGGGGCATTTTGTTCCACTGTGTTTTGTAATGTTTGGATAGTTGTTGATCAAATCTTACGTGTCTTAAGAATTTCGCCTGTAGGAACACAGGCCCGACCAAATCTTAGTCCTTCCTGTGAGCAGATTCTCGCGCCATGATCTGGGTGCCGACGGCCCCGCCAGCCGACCCGGCCACGCCGAAACTTTCCCCGAAAGGGAGCGGGCGCCTTCCGAGGGAACCGCCGAGGGAGCCGCCGAGGGAGCGGGCGCCCTCTGAGGTCCAGGCCGCCAGCGATTGGAGCCCGCTGCTGGACCCAGAGGCGGGGCGTGCTCTGCTGGCGCACTGCTGGGCCCGCAAGGTTCGGCCACGCGCAGAGGGAGTCTGGGGGGGGCGGGGGGGCTTCTTGGAAACACCCAGTCTTTTACAAGGCGCGCGCTCTGTCTGTAGATGAAGGGCCCGCGCCTTCTAAGAAGAAACCTCTGTCTAAGAAGCCGTTCCCCCTCCTCCTGCCCACTGTGCGCGACGCCCAAACTGGACGAAACGGGGGGCTTAGCGAAAGGTGGGGTACGAAATGTGCTGCATGCAGCTGGTTTCCGCCCCGCCGCCAGGCCTCTTCCTCGATACAGGGGCGCCTCCCGACGCCAGGGGGCGCCAGGAAAACCAGCGAAGTGAGCTGATTCTCGACCGTGCTCGCTGCTGTCCTAGCCTGTCGTTCCCCCCGCAAGGCCACCGTGGCCGTGGCGACGCTCGCCTTGGCTGCGGCCGCGGCGATGGCGGGCGCGGCCCTGGCGGCCGGCGGCCGCAACGCAGGCCCGGGCGGCGGTGCCGCGAGCCCGGCGGGCGCCGCCGCCGCGCTGAAGCGGTCCTCCGCCGGTCTGCACGCGGCGGCGTCCACGACGGCGGCGGCTCCGGCCACGACGGCGGCGGCTCCGGCCCCGGCCGCTTTGAGCCCGTCCTTCTCGGCGGCGAGCGAGGCGGGGAAGCGAGGAGGAGAAGCGAGCAGTGGCGAAGCGTCCTGGCTTGCCGACACAGGTCCACGGAAGCATGGTTTCAGAAGCGTTTAGTGGTTTGCACGGAGTGGTCTTAGAACATGTTTGGTTGAGACCGGTTGGTTTCAATTCATCGGGCGTATGTTATCAGGTCATTGTCGCTGTGTTTCGAACATGTTTGGGTTCTAAGAACATTCCGTGGTAGGCCTAAACGAGGAAGGTTTTTTGTGTTGGTTTCTCTCGGCGGTGAATGGGACTCGTCCTAAAACTGGACTTCCTCTTCCTCCTGCTCCTCCTCCTCATCATCATCATCACCATCATCATCATCATCATCATCACCATCATCATCATCATCCTCTTCCTCTTACCCCTCCAACCCGCGCTTCCCCTCTTCCTCCTCCTCCTACTCCTCCTTATTGCAAGCGTAGTCGATGCTGGCGTGGTCGTTGTTGCGCGGTTGGTGCCACGGAAAATGATTATTAAGTACAACCTATCGGTGGGACCCCAGTCCGTCAATAAGGCTGCCGAAACAGACAAAAAGTATGTACCTCCTATTCGGAAATTCTAGAGATCTTTCAGTGTTATAGGAATGCCAGGACGGTCGGTCCCTGCTAAAGAGGAGGCCTTCTCAGAAGGCTGCGGTTCTTCTCAGAACTTCTTGCGCCTCCTGGGAAGTGTTCTCTGTCTTTGGTTAGGGGAACGGCTTAGGAAGCTTATTTGAGGGGCCGGGGACTTCCGAGCTTTCTGGAAACGCCCGCCCCTTCTCACCCTCACTGGCTCGCCGCCGACCTTCGGCTCTGGCCGCAACGCGACGGCGGCCGGCCGCAACGCGACGGCGGCCGCCAGCGGAGCCGCCGAGGATTCGGAGGAGGAATAGGTGCCGATACCGCTACCCCTTTCGCCCGTTTTCCCCTGTGTGGGCCTCCGCGAAAGTCCTCGTCGCCACCGCTGGTTTTGCCTCGAATTCCTGGTCAGGTCGCGCCCGAGTCAGTATCGTTTAACCGACCCCCATCCCCTGCGAGACCCCCACCAAATTACCCCCTCAGTTGGGGATGCGCCCCTCGAAGCCTGAAGGGAACCTCCCTGTATCACCATCTGGGGGGGAGATCGGCCAGTGGGGCCCAGGCCACGCCCGTGGGGATAGGGATCGGGTAAACGATGCTCACCGGGAGAGGTCCCAGGAGCAGCGGCATCGGTACATGCTTGGTTGCCCAAAGGACGCCCACAGCACGACGGCGGCCCCGGCGCCCGCGCCGCCCTCGCTGGTGCGCGGCAAGCCGTACCTCTGGCCGGTGAACGCTGTCTACGTCATCAGCATGCCCGATCGCCCCGAGCGCCTCAAGAGGTTCAAGCAGGTGCTCGAGTTCACCACCGGCGTGCCCGGCGACCTCGTCGAGGTCTCCCCGGGGGTCAACGCGGAGGACGCCGTCAGGAACCACGCCTGGCCGCTGGAGCTGCTGCCCGGCCTGTACACCGACTTCGAGGCGGGGCACGTGGGCAACGTGGGCTGCGGGCTGGCGCACATGTCCGCCTGGAAGCGGGTGCAGGACTCGCCCAGGTTCGGGTCGGGCGAAAGGGGGGGTTTGGGAAAGCGGGGGTTACGAAATTTGCTGCATGCAGCTGTTTTCGGCCTCACCGAGGGGCCCATTCCTCGATACATAGCCGCCTCCGGCGCCGGGAGGCGCCGGGAAAATCAGCTACGTGAGCTGATTCTCAAACCCCCCCTTTGCTATCCCCCCCTTTCGCCCGACCCGACAGGTGCCAGGCGGACGGCGCGGCCGACGAGTACGCGCTCATCTTCGAGGACGACGAGTGGGTCAAGGGCGTGTTGCCGGCGGCCCTGCGGCGCCTGATGCAGCTGGTCGAATCGAGCGACGGGCCCAAGCCCGACTTCACCTCGAGGAACGAATAATGGCAGGCACGTCGCTAAACCGTCGGAGCTCTGCCCGGATCTCTTGGACCGGCGGTGGAGCCCCCTTTGGCGGCGCCTCTGGCGCAGCCCGTGGCGCGAGAGGGGGGGGGGGTCCAGCGCCGATCCCAGAAGTCCGCGCGGGGCACCGAGAGTTTAGGTTATCCAGTCTTTTGTTCCTCGATTCGTCAACCTGAACGTCATTAGGCCAACGGGCGAGGCGGTCCCCGACGGCGAGAGCCTGCTGTCTGGGTCGTACGTGCTGCGGGTCAAGAAGGGCAAGGGCCACGCGAAGTGCTGGGACCCCGCGGACACCACGTGCCCGAACACCTGGCTGGGGGCGTACCTCGTGAGGTGTGGAGGCGCCAGCAGGCTGATAGAGGGCATGCAGAACCTGAAGCGCGGTGGCAAGAAGTTCGACGGGACGCTGTCGTTTGACCGGGCGATGTCGGACATGCTCCTAGGGTCGCCGCCTGCGAGCGAGGCGGTGGCGTGGGTGGTGGGGCCGAACAACTCCTTCACCGTCCACTCGGAGCAGCAGTCCAGCCGCAAGGAGCTCAACGGCGGGCTCGCGAACTGACTGCGGCGCCGCCCCGCTTGTCCTCGCGCTCAAGCAAACGGGGCACCGCGGCCGGCTTCCCCGTTTGGGGATGTGTTGAGCTGCTTCCCCGTTGTAGGCATCTTCATCGCCGAACCTCTCCCCATCCCCGCTGGGCTATGGCATCGCAGCCCCTGCCCCCCCACCCTTGGGGATGGGCCCCGCGAGACCCGAAGGAACATCGTGTATGATCCCCACCTGGGTGGGTAAGCCGGCCACGAGGCCCATTGGGACTGGTTAGACGATGCTCAAGGTAGGAATGTAGTTCTGAGCAGGTGGCCCCAGGTGTCAGCCCTAGGGGGCCCGCCCCAGCCATCCATTATGCCACACAAGCGTGTGGAACGTTTTTCCTTGCCTGGGCGTCATGCGTGGTGGTGCACTTGCAGGCCGCTGCTGGTCGTGAAGGCCCGCTTCTTCCCGAGGTGCGGCACGTCTGCGCCGCGCGGCTGTTGGAGGCGGAACGCCGCCAGTGGCCCGGCATCGTCGGGTGTCGAGCGATCTGCGATACCTTGGACCTCCCAAATCGGCTCAGAGCAGATGGGATCGGAGCATCGCGCCGCATTGCCGATCACTCGGTGATGCGTCTCGATGTGGAGCCCGATGTTCTCCACGCCGACGTTGCCGAGGCATCGCCGACGTCGACGATGCGTCGACGATGCGTCGTGCTCCTCCGACCCCACCTGCTCGTGGCCTCCACCCAACAAAGGGGTGGAGGGATGCCTTCTTAGGAGGAGGCTGCTTCTTAGAAGCCGCGGGCCTGACATTTACAGACAAAGCCCGCGCATTCTCAGAAGCAGCGGTGCTTCCACAAAGTCTTCCTCCCTCCCCCTAGCAAGAAACTCGTTCCCTATTTGAACAACCCGTTCCCCGGTTGTTCGTTTCGCTCCCCGGCGGAAGTAAGACAAATTTGAAAGAATTCGTCCCTTGTCGGAGCTCATAATTAAAACCGTTGTGATAAGATGTCGTCGCGACCCTACACACGAGTTCAATCCGCACACGTAGACAGTTTCGTTGCCGCCGAAGCAACATGAATCCGACCGGGGAACGAGTTCGTCAGAACATGTTGTTGTACTAGTGTGCGTTGTGCTAGTGTGGCACTGGCTTTGCTGTTCTCAATGTTGGAGAACCTGCGCTTCTGAATCACCGAAAGGTGTTGCGCACGATGGACCCATCGCGAGGAGGAGGAGGAGGAGGAGGAGGATATGGGGACGGAACAACACAAATCAGAAGGACGAGGGGCGGGAGGAGGGGAAGAAAAGGAAGTGGAAAGAGGATCGAGGAGAAGGGGGAGGAGGAGGAGGATGAGGAGGAGGAGGAGGAGGAACACAACGGGGGAAGAGGGAAGAGGATGAGGAGGATGAGGGGGAACAGCCTGAGGACAAGGAGCAAGAAGAACAGGAGGTGGGGGGGCTGAAGGAGGAACAACCGGAGAATTGGGGAAGGAAAGGGAGGGGGAGGAGCTGGAAGAGGCGAGGCACGGCGAGGACGAGGAGGGGGAAAAGAGGAGGAAGAGGTGGAGGAGGAGGAGGAGGAGGAGCAGGAGGAGGAGGAATGCTACGAGCCAGGAGCAGGAGGAGGAGGACCGCCGACCCGCAACCAGTCACGGGCACAACAGCTCGCAACCCCGGAACGAGCCCCAGAAACCCACCATAAGCATCAGTGTTGAGAGTCGTGAATGAAAGGGGGCCCGCGGCGCGGGGTAATGTCGTTGCCGCCGTCAGTCGCCTGCTCGTTTGCTCCAATCGCCTGCTAGTTTGTTATGCTCGCCTGCTCGTTTGCTCTGATCGCCTGCTCGTTTGTTCGTTTGTCCTGCTCGAGTTTAAATGTTGTTGCCGCCTGCACGTTTGCTCTGACGCACTGTCGGTCTGAATGTTGTCTTGCCTGTTTGCGTTTCGCCTGCAACAGGGACCCTCTGGAGGCATCCCAGAGGAGGCGCCGTGCGAAGCGGGGCCCAGGGCCTCTAGGGGCTGAGGGGGAGGAGGAAGTGAGGGCGGCTCCTTTTTTCAATAGGGGGCTCTCGCTCGAGCTCCACTCCAGGTCCTCTCGAGGCATCCGAGAGGAGGCGCCGTGCGAGGCGGGCGCCCAGGCATCTGAGGGCTGAGGGGGGCATCTAGAGAAGGCCCAGAGGAAGAGGTTGAGGGCGGCTCCTTTGTCAAAACGGGGTCCTCGCTTGAGCACCACTCCAGGGCCTCCTTCGCGGCATCCCAGAGGGAGGCGCCGTGCGAGGCGGGGCCAGAGGCCTCTGGGGGCTTCTCGTGGCATCCCAGAGGAGGCCCAAGGGAGGTGCGGGCGGCTCCTTTGCAAAGCGACGAACACGATGGGGGCAGCGCGCATGCGCATCTTCTCCTCCCGCGACAGTGGCCCACCAGGAATCTGCGCAGCCGAAGGAGTGCAGCCGCGGCCACCTAGCCACAAGAAGCTATCCAGACGCCTTGGAGATGATTCGGAAAGCTCCCACAGGGCTCCCAGAAGGCTCTCAGGGGGATATCGAGGATCTTTCGGAGGTATACCAAAGGTTTTTTTCCAGAGGCCTGTCAGGGGCATCACTGAGAGTTCTCGGAGGCTTCTCACAGGAGAAGCACTCTGAGGGCCCCCCAGATGTCTCAACGAGGGCTATTAGAGGCCTCTCGGAGGGCGATTGAAGATCTCACATCAAAATCTCTCAGGGCTCCCAACAGTTTCCAATGCGAGGTTGCCAAGAAGCCTTTCAGAGGCAAACAGAAACCTGTCAGAGGCCGCCAGCAACCTTCCCAGAGGCTGCCAAGGACCCTTGCAGGGGCCGCCAGGAGGCCTTTCAGGGGCCGCCAGGAACACTCTCAGTGGCCGCCCGGGAGCCTTTCAAGGGACGCCAAGAGGCGCCCTAGGGCGCCAAACAAACTTTTCAGGGGCCGCCAAGAACAGTTTCGAGTGTCAGCAAGAACTGTCTCATGGACCGCCAAGAAATGTTTCAGTGGCTACCAGGAACCCTTTTTCAGGGGCAGCCAACGATCCCCTCACGGGCCGCCAAGGACCTTCTCAGGGGGCGCCAAGGACCCTCTCAGGGGCCGCCAAGAACCCTCTCAGTGGCCGCCATCAGCTCCTAAAGGCTTCCAAGAACCCTCTTAGGGGCCGCGAAGAGGCCCCTCAGGGACTGCCAAGAACCCTTGTCAGTGACCGCCAAGAACCCCCTCATGGGGCCGCCGATGACCGTCTTAGGGGCCGCCAAAAGGCCTCTCAGGGGCCGCCGAGCGGCCTCTCAGAAACCGCCAGGAGTTTTTTTTTTTGTCGGAGGCCTCCAAGAACCCTCCTCGGAGCTGCCAAGAACTCTTTTCTCGTCACGCTCTCAGAGGCCGCCCGGAACATTCTTAGGGGCCGCCAAGGAACTCCCCGAAGGTCGCCCAAAACCCTCCCAGGGGCAGCCCAACACCCTCAGGGACAGCCAGAAACCTTCTCATGCGCCGCCAAGGAGCGTCTCAGGGGCCGCGAAGAGGTCTCTCAGGAGCGGCCAAGAAACTTTCCAGGGGCCGCCAAGAGGCGCCTTATGGGACCGCCAAGCAAACCTCCCAGGGGTCGCCAAGAACCTTTTTGGGGGGCCGCCAAGAACCTTTTTCGGATGCCGCCAAGAACCGTCCTGGGGGCCGCCAAGAACCATTTCAGGGGCCGCCACGAACCCTTTTCATGGGCCGCCAAGAGACCTCTCATGGTCCGCCAATACCTTTTGGGGCGCCAAGAACCCTCTCAGGGGCCGCCAAAAACCTTTCCCAGGGGCCGCCACGAACCCTTTCAAGGGCCGCCAAGAACCCTCTCAGGGACCGCCAAGAGACCTCTCAAGGGCCGCCAAGAAACTTCTCAGGGGCCGCCAAAAGCCACGTCAGGGGCCGCCCATTTCAGGGGTTGTCGAGAACCGTTTTGGGGGCCGCCAAACACTTGTTTGCGGGGCCGCCAAAAGAATGTTTTGCGGGCCGCCAAGAACCTTCCCAGAGGCCGCCACAAACCGCCTCAGAGCCGCCAAGAAACCTTTTTCAGGGGCCACCAAGAACCTTCTTGACGGCTGCCGAGAACCCGATCGGAAGTTCCATCTACTGAGAAAGCGCGTCGAACTTTCACCTGGGAACGAGTCGTTTAACCGGAAAGCGAATCGTTCAACCGGGGAACGAGTTGTTCTCCCTCTCCCTACCCCCTTTTGCGCGCCGCCAGTATCGGACCAGCGCCATCGAACGACCCACCTGGATCAGACACCAGCGCGCCGGCGTGCTCGCGGCGCGGAGTTGCCGCACCCCCGGCAGCATTCATGGGGGTCGCAGCAGTTGGGCTCGGAGAGTGCGGCGCTGCATCGCCGATGCGTCGGCGCGCGCTGCGGCTCCGATCCAGCGCCCGATTCTCCCGACGTCCAGGTGTCGCCGATGCTCATTGGCAGCGATCGGGGGGGAGAGGCTCGGGGGGGGCCGCATCGGCCCCCGCTCGCCCACAGGTCGCCGACGGGGGTCCGAGAGCCCGCTACGCCCAGGAGCGTGTGGGTTCGGCATCAAGAGCCTCTCGCCGATCTATCGGCAACGTATGGCTGCCAGTTCAACGTCCATGTTCCCCCCCCTGAGTATGTTAGGGGAGCGGATAATTACATGAGCATAAGAAAAATCGGGGGTCCGCGCGGATTTCTCGGATCGGCGCTGGGGCCCCCTGGCGGAGCCTCCGACGCCGCCCCTGGCGCGTTCCGCGCGCCAGGGAGGGGGGCCAGCGCCGATCGGAGAAATCCGCGCGGACCTCTGAGCTTTTAAATGTTAATCCCCCACATCCTGAGCTGGGTTTTTGTTTTCCCAGAAAATCCTCTCCTTCTCCCTCCCGCCTCCCACCTCCCATATCAATACCATTTCCACCCCTCCAGGGAGGCCCCGCCTGAGCGAGGAGGGTATCGGAAAACCAGGCAATTCACATGGTTTCGTGCCGTTCCCACCTCTCCAGGGAGGCCCCGCTTGAGTGAGGAGGGTATCGGAAAACCATACTATTTACATAGTGTCGTGCCCTTCCCACCCCTCCAGGGAGGCTCCGCTTGAGCGAGGAAGGTGTCGGAAAACCATACTGTTTACATGGTTTCGTGCCCTTCCCGCCTCTCCAGGGAGGCCCCGCCGGAGCGAGGAGGGTATCGGAAAACCATATTATTTACATGGTTTCGCGCCCTTCCCACCCCTTCCAGGGAGGCCCCGCCTGCGCGAGGAGGTTATCGGATACCCATATTATTTAGATGGTTTCGTGCCCCTCCCACCCCTCCAGGGAGGCCCCGCCGGAGCGAGGGGGTATCGGAAACCCATGCTATTTACATGGTTTCGTGCCCCTCCCACCCCTCCAGGGAGGCCCCGTCTGAGCGAGGAGGGTATCGGAAACCCATACCATTTACATGTATTCGTGCTTCCCTACATCCTGAGTGGCCCACCCCTCCAGGGAGGCCCCGCCTGAGCGAGGAGGGTATCGGAAACCCATGCTATTTACATGGTTTCGTGCCCCTCCCACCTTTCCGTTCACCGATTTGCGCAACCCCGACTAGTTCCTGAGTTGTGATGTGCCATTTTCTTGTTGCGTTTTTGGCCGTACGGTGGCGTTCGCACGTGCTGCAGCAACGGTCGCAGAACGTGCTGGTGGTGATTCGTTGCCGACGCCATCTGGCACAGGCCTGCCCCGGTCACTCCTTCTCAGGAATTCGCGGGAGGAGGAGGGGGAGGACAAAGGAGAGGTCGAGGAAGAACAAGCAGAGGAAGAGAAGGGGGAGGTGGAGGAGGAGGAGGAGCAGGAGGGGTGCATGCGTGCCGAATCGATGGTAATCCATATTTCAGGGCCCGCCTTTTAGGGCCCGCCTGAGAAAGACGGCGACGCCGACGCTGCCGACGACGACTACGACACCGATGACGGCGAAGACAGGAGGAGGAGGAGGAGGAGGAGGAGGAGGAGGAGGAGGAGGAGGAGGAGGAGGAGGAGGAGGAGGAGGAGGAGGAGGAGAGGAGAGGAGAGGAGGAGGAGGAGGAGGAGGAGGAGGAGGAGGGAGGAGATGAGAGGAGGGGAGGAGGGGGAGGAGGAAGGACGAGGAAAAATATACCACCCAGACCAACCTCGCGAATCGGACCGTGGACGCCTGGGCGACTCACCCGCCCGCCCGACCCTCCTCCTTCTCATGTTCATACTCCTGGCCACCCTCCCGCTGCTGCTCCTGTTGCGGTTCCTGCTGCTGCTCTTCATCATCATCCATCCTATTATTTTCTTCCTCCTCCTCCTCCTCCTCCTCCTCCTCCTCCTCCTCCTCCTCTTCCTCCAGGAGGGTATCGGGAAACAGTGCAGTTTACACGGTTTCGTGCCCCCCTTCCATTCTTCCAGAGAGGCCGCGCTTGAACGAGGAGGGTCGCGGAAAACACTATTCTTTACCATTGGGACTCCCGATTGGGACCCCCGATTGGGATTCACCCACGCTATACGACGATAGCCGTAAGATTGAACCACGGTTTCGCGGGCACTTCCGTTTCAGGTCATGGATACTTCCCCACATCCCGACTGGGGTTTTTGTTTCCCCAAAACATCCTCTCCTTCCCCCTCCCGCCCTCCCATACCAATACCGTGTCCACCCCTCCAGGGGCGCCACGCCTGAGCGAGGAGGGTATCGGAAGACAATCCTATTTACATTGCTTCGTGCCCTTCCCACCTCTCCAGGGAGACCCCGCCTGAGCGAGGGGGGTATCGGAAAACCATACTATTTACATGGTTCCGTGCCCTTCCCACCCTTCCAGGGAGGCCCCGCCTGAGCGAGGAAGGTGTCGGAAAACAATAGTATTTACATTGTTTCGTGCCCTTCCCACCTCTCCAGGAAGGCCCCGCCTCCGCGAGGAGGGTATCGGAAAACCATATTATTTACATGGTTTCGTGCCCTTCCCACCCCTCCAGGGAGGCCCCGCCCTAGCGAGGAGGATATCGGAAAACCATACGATTTACATGGTTTCGTGCCCCTCCCACCCCTCCAGGGAGGCCCCGCCGGAGCGAGGAGGGTATCGGAAACCCATGCTATTTACATTGTTTCGTGCCCCTCCCACCCCTCCACGGATGCCCCGTCTGAGCGAGGAGGGTATCGGAAACCCACATTTACATGGTTTCGTGTTTCCCCACGTCCTCATTGGCCCACCCCTCCAGGGAGGCCCCGCCTGAGCGAGGAGGGTAACGGAAACCCATGCTATTTACATGGTTTCGTGCCCCTCCCACCCCTCCAGGGAGGCCCCGTCTGAGCGAGGAGGTCGCTAAGTCGTGTCGTTCACCGATTTGCACAACCCCCACTAGTTCTTGAGTTGTGATTTGCCATTTCCCTGTTGCGCTTTCGGCCGTACGGTGGCGTTCGCACGTGCTGCAGCAAGGGTCGCAAAACGTGCTGGTGGTGATTCGTTGCCGACGCCATCTGGCACAAACCTGCCCCGGTCCTTCCCAGGATTTCGCGGGAGGAGGGGGAGGGGGAGGACAAAGGAGAGGTCGAGGAAAAACAAGCAGATGAAGAGAAGAGGTGGAGGAGGTGGAGGAGGGGTACATGCGTGCCGAATCGATGGTAATGCATACTTCAGGGCCCGCGTGAGAAAGACGGCGACGCCGACGCTGCCGACGACGACGAGTAAGACACCGACGAGGGCGAAGACAGAGGAGGAGGAGGAGGGGCAGGAGGAGGAGGAGGAGGAGGAGGAAGGACGAGGAAAAATATACCACCCAGACCAACCTCACGAATCGGACCTTGGACGCCTGGGCGACTCACCCGCCCGCCCGACCCTCCTCCTTCTCATGTTGACACTTCTGGCCATCCTCCCGCTGCTGCTCCTCCTGCGGTTCCTGCTGCTGCTCTTCATCATCATCCATCCAATCCTCTTCCTCCTCCTCCTCCCCCTCCTCCTCTATCGGAAAACAGTGCAGTTTACACGGTTTCGCGCCCCCCCTTTCCACTTTTCCAGAGAGGCCGCGCTCGAACGAGGAGGGTCGCGGAAAGCATTACTCTTTATCAGGTTTCGTAGCCTTCCAGCTTTCCAGCGGGGCCCCGCCAGAGCGAGGAGGGCATCAAGAAACCGTAGTATTTACAAGGCTTCGCTTCCTGAGCACATGTCCTCCCTCCTTCTTTCTTTCGTCTGCCCTTTCGTGCGTACTTACTCGTTCGATGAGCTTTTCCTTCGTGTTGATGTTGTCGTACCCCATGGGTCCCACGAAATCGTTAATATCTTTGGGTGGGGAACCCCGCTAGCATAATGTCATTTTCCGTTTTGCTACTTTCCCTCGTAAGCATGTCCCCCCTATCGTTGCCCCCCAGTTTCGCTGCCAGTACATCGGCGCTGCGGCGCCACCCTCTGGCCCCGTCCGCTCAGACCCCGCCTCGTCGGCTGCCGCGTAGGCCGGAGAGGCCAATCTGCAGCGCAGGATGGGCAATCAGCGCAAACGTAAATTTTCGGAGCCTCACGCGGGTTTCTTGGCTCTGCGCGGGACCCCCCTGGCGGTGCCGCCGGCGCCGCCCCTGGCGCGCGGAGGGCGCCAGCGAGGGGCCCGGGGCCCAGCGCCAGCTGGAACAAAAAGACCCGAGCTCAGGAACCCGCGCGGGGCTCCGAAAGTTCTCGGACGTGGACGGAACCCCCAACAGTGACACGTCGATTAGTGAATTGAGCGTTCTCGGTGTTCCAGAGGGCGCCGCGGTCGTCACGTTTCGGGCCTGCGCCCGCCAAGGTTTGGGCCCGAGGCCGTTCTCACTCAACCACGTTTTGCGAAAGGGGGCTCTGTCCATCCCCGAGGTTTATGCTTCTGCAGCTTCTTGTGCCTCCAGTGTGTGTTCTGCAATTTCTGTGCCTCCATCAGGGGCAACGATAATGGGGGATACGCATGGGGGGGGGCATCGACCCCCAATCGCCCATTCATCGCCGACAGGGGCCCATTAGCCCCAGCCTGCCGAGGAAGGTGCGGATTCACGATTGGAGGCCTACCGCCGATCTGCCGGCGATGTATCGCCGATTCCAGGTCGATGCATTCCCCATGCCAGTCCCCCCTATCGTTGCCCCTCGCTCCAACGACGGCCGAGGCGTCCAGCCGGCAGCGCCTCCGGCACAGGCCGCAGCGCGCTGGGGCTCTCTCCGTTGGTGCCGCAGGCTTCGCGGCGGGCCAGCAGCGGCCCCCCTCCCGCGCGCGAGGCCTGAGGCTGGCAGCGTGGCCTGCTCTCGCGGCTTCTTCTTGAGTCGGGCATGGCCCTCTACAGGATCGTGGGCGGACAGAACCCCCAACAGTGACACGTCGATTTGTGAATTGCCCGGTTTCGGTTCTCCAGAGGGCGCCGTGGCCGTTATTTTCCAGGCTTGCGCCCGCCAGGTTTGGGCCTCAGGTCGCTTTTACTAAACCACGTTTTGCTAAACTGGGGTCTGTCCATCCCTGGCAGGAGGCATATTCTCGACTAGACGTAATAGAGAGTGACCTTTCGCCAGAGTGGTCTTTCTGGTGCGGGCCCAACAGGGCCCCCCAATGGCCGAACGCGCTGCGGCGGTAGCGTCTTGCGCGCTTGCGCTCGGCGCCCCCGCGACCCCCCAAACAGCCGCGCGCCAGAGGCCACCGTTACCCACAGGGTCACTCCTTGCGTGTAGTCGATGTTCAAGTACTCCGACGACTTTAAGGGTAGCTCTTTGGGAGATGTTGTGTAGAATCGGGAGTATAGCTCGCGCGCCGTTGCCTTTGGCTCAAGGCACGCGCGCCCTCTTTGCCCGGACACTTACCTTAGTGTTCGCTATGTGCTGGAAAGATCACTACATCGATCTTATCCTATCTTATCCGTCCATTCCCCATACTGAACCACCCCAGCAGGGCAATGGACGCTATCTGCCATTCGATTCCCATGGGAGTGGATGTTATTTGACTTACCGTAGTCACTTTCGACTTGGTAGCGGAGCTGGCCGCACTCTCGTGTGGTCAGCTCTTGCTCTTCTTATCCTCGCGCTACACGGCACGATCTTCGTGACCAACTACCACCCTGCGCCACCACTCCCAGTACATTTACGAGGATCTATCCAAGAGCAAGAAGCAACACCAGAGGTACGACGTCTAGACAACAACATTGGGACCATTTGCGTTTCATCACTGCGCTACTACCAACCGCTCGGCAATGAGCCAAAAGCGCAGTACTTGAAGCAGATGCGGGGAGACCCGCGAGATAAAGCACCTCGAAGACTTGACAAGGCGCTACCCCAGCGCGGCAACGCGCCTAATAACCACCCCTATCTTCACAGCCTTGGGCTGGTTATATTCGCCATCCTATGGTTCGCGCTGGGGGCAGCAATCGGACACATGCATCGTGGAGATAGCAGCACCGATGGGCAAACACATGGCCCATACTGGGACCCTCTAGGCAACGTGCCTTTTCCGCGAGTGCGTTTATGAGGTCAACGCGTGGCCCAACGTCACAAGTGGACGTATGACGCCACAGGCCCAAGCGGCCGCCATGCAACGCGGTCTGGGTGGCCTAGCGAGGACACTCGCCATGAGGGTACCACCTGATATTATACACTACGGTGCTGACATCGATGGGGTCCACACCGACCCAGTGACCTACATCAGATTCCTCCTAAGCATGAAGTTCGAGCGCCTGGAAGATGAGCGCCAGCTCACTTCCGGCACACAGCTCATCGACTTTCATGTGCCTCACGGAGAACGAATCGATGTCACCCTTACCCGATTCGAAATGGCCCGACTTGAGGCACAGTCGGCGGGATTTGACCTCCCCAACTTCCAATTACTAACTACGATCCTATTCCGCGCCTTAGGCGTCGGCAACCAGCGAGCCATGCAACTCTTACAGCCACTCAATCACCAAATGCCCCGAACACAGCAACAGCATGATGAGTTGCTGGAAAGGATGCGTTCGATAGGTCACTTATCAGAACGGTCTCCTGGCAATATAGGATCAGTGCTTGGAAGGGGGAGGGGATCTGGTAGTGGGAATTTCTACACTACCTGAACCACTGATGCCCAGCCTGGAAACGGGCCCTCAAGCGCATGGGCCGACGATTCTGGAGAATCCACTGCTTTACTAGCAGGGGATCGATCACAACCAAGCTGGGCAACCAGCCCTCCTTCCAGAGGGCCTCAACCACACCGTTCCCTATGGGGTGAATCAAACCCCCATAACCGACGGTGTATCCACCTACCTGGGAGACGACGATTTCGACTCTGGCACCAACACAGATACTGTATCATCAGACGGTGTTGAAGCTCTAGATTGGTCAGATATCATGAATATGGAAAATGATAATCAGCGTGCTGAACACCTGTTTTGGTTACTGCAACAGGCAAAGCGGAGGTGGGGGAAGTTCGCGCGAAAACCAGTGCGTCGTGTTAGGAGGAGGACACGGAGGAGCTTCAAAGGAAAAGGTAAAGGCAAACGGGGTCGTCGTAGGTTGAATGGACGAGGCATCGCGGCCTTCCTCCAGAAGCTCTCAGCTGATCAGTATGGAAAAGGCCGCGGCAAAGGCCGTAGAGATACCTCGGGCAAAGGCAAAGGTAGGCGGGGAAACCCGCGAGGTAGAGACGGCCAGATCCTAAAGTGCCATGGGCGTGATAGTACCGACCATCTTGTGAGAGATTGTCCAGCGAAGGGACACGGGAAGGGCAGATCGACCGAAGTTCATTTTAGCTCAAGTGAACCATTTATTGAATATCTGAGCCTCCAGGATTTTGAGGCCATGGAACAGATATTTTACACTTGGGTTAGCTGCATGGACAACGTCGACGAGCTCGAGGCGTATGGCCATGGACTGTACGCGTACTACCTCGAGTACGTCCGCAGGTTCGTTGTCGGCAACAACGAGCTCACTCCCGTGGATCAAGGAACGCTGGGAAACCAGCCTTTATCCTTCTTCGACTGGATGTTCGGGAACCCAGGCAACATCACGGCCTACGAGAGCAGTGGCGAGGACGTCACTGTAGAGGCCTCGCCTTCAGAGGTTGACCGCAACCTCCAACCTCCACCCGACCTCATGCCTGGAAACAGGCCTACCTATCCTCGAAATCACGCTGAACTTATAAAAATGGAGTCTCAAGCGTTCGTTGCGGGCGTACCAGGGGGCCCATTTATACCCCCTGGTTCGCTTGCTCCAGGCGAGTACGGGCCACGCACACTACTGCAAACCCTCATGAGGATGCACGAGATATTAACCATAGCATATCCCGAGAGTCAAGAAAGCATCGAAGCTGGTAACATGATGCTGCAGGACACTGACGCCTGCGACGACTCGGAGTTAGTGTTGGCAGCCTTGACTCTTATTGACAGCGTGCACCCTGAGGGCGTGCAGAGGCATGCGTGGTATTCCAGAGGGAGATGGCGCGAGGCCCTTGAAAGGGCCATCGCCATGCGCGGCCAGGCTCTTCCTCCGCCAGGATGGGGTCTCCAGGCGGCGGGACTATGGCCCAATCATACTGCCATGCGCAACATTGCTGGGCAGCCTGTGCTCGGCAACGAGCCTGAACCGACAACCGCGCCGCCTGCTCCGGGACAGCCAAGCGATGCTCAGACGCCGGCTACGCAGGGAAACCTGCCCGTCCCGGCTGCGCCGATGGCCGTCATCGTTGGCAATTCTACATCAGAAGATGAAGAGGGCGATGGTTGCGGGCTGGGCGAGGACGAAACCACAATCCTCATGATGGAGGTCGCTGGTGAGGAAGAGGTGGACTTCGATCCCGACGAGCCTGACGCGCCAACACCACCGGCACAAGCGCCCATTGCGCCGGGCTCCAGCCAGCAGGGAAGCCTGCTGCTGTTAGACGATCCACCTGGGATCGCGCAGGAGCCTCCGCAGGAGCCCCCGCCGGCTCCCGCTCAGGCTGCATCGGCAGCCTCTTCTGATGAGCATGCCGGAAGGTCTCGTTCCCATCCACGCCTCAGAGAAGAGCCCCATTTGCAGGCGCGGCTTCCTCGTGAGTGGAGGCAAGCTGGCCCAAAGGAACACGCTCTTAGGCGAGGGGGGCGAATTGCTTCCTTATAATGACCCAAGGCGCCGGAAAGGGGAACATTCGGCCTTCGGCAAGGGCAGCCCCGCCTATAGAGACGCTCAGGGTAAGTCCATGCGCGGTGGCTACCAGCTTGCGACGAACATTCGTACTGGTGAGATACAAGAAGTACGAACGCAGCTGCGTAACGTCATCGCAGCGCGCAAACTGCACCGACCTCAGGCAGTTTGTGGACCATGCTCAGAGCCGTTTCAGGAGCATAGGCCGGGATGCCCTGTAGGGCTCAACGAGGGTTTGAGCCCTAACAGAGGCCGTAATCCTCATAAGGAGGGCCATCCACCGCTGATCCCGATGACACAAGACGAGATCGCAGAGATCAATCGTCGTCTCGGGATCACGGTTCGCATGAGGCCGAAGGCCGAGGAGGTTAAGCCTCCTCCGGCTCCGAGGGGACTGGTGCCCATGACCCAGGAAGAAAAGGATGCGCTCTTTAACCTTCCTGGAATGCGAGGAAACTCGCCCGGCGTTTCCAGCCAGCCCCAACGGCCAGAACCGACGGGCAACGATGACCAGAAGGCCCAGCGAGTTGCGGCAGATGAGGAACGTAGATGGACAGCAGAGGAACACACCCGCGAGGCAACTCGCCAGATGCTGATGGACTCCCAAAAGATCTACATGAAAGATGCGAAGGCGAAGAAGCCCCCACTTCCACTCCAACCGAAGGCTAAGAGTGAAACACCGGCCCCTAGGTCGCTTTCGGAGGAGAGACCGAAGACAACAGCACGCTCTGAGGAGCTTGGGTCAGATGTGCAGATGGAGGCGCCCCGCTCTAAAACGCCGAGATCACCGACTAGAGCAACTCCAGCACAGAGACCTAACCCCAGACAGCCACCTCAGGAACCTGTAGAAGTACGTAGACGCCCGCCTAGTCGCAGCGGGTCTATCGCCAACAAGGCTAAGGCTTCCGAGCGCACAGGGTACGCCCCTGCGCCAGCCTCGCCTGCGGCGGCACGCTCCAAAAGGTCTGATGAAGGTGCTCTGTCTAGGGGCACCTGGGCGCCGACGATTAGGGGCAGCGCCAGCCGAGAGTCACCGCGGGGAAAGCCGCCAGGCGCTGCTGCTGCAGCTTCCTCCTCCTCGGGAGCCGCAGCCTCTTCGGCGACAGGCTCCTGCGCGGGGAAACCCGCCCGAGGAACAGCTGCACCACCCAGGAGACGCATCCTTCACCAGTGGGAGTCAG